TGGCCTGCTGTGTTCGTCCAGCTTTACACCTTGTTATCTCATAATTAAACACAGCCTTGTGACTTGACAGCAGCTTTGCCAAGACCTGGACTGTATGAGAGCCCTAGGGAGGCTTGGCATTTGCAATGATGGTGCTCAGTGTGTAAGTGAACGGCAAGGTTCAATCACAGAGGGCACTACACAGGACAAAAAGCCCCCACAAGAGGGAAAAGTGGGGAAACCAATCAGTCAGGGGCCTGTTCTCAACACTCGGCCATTGAACATGTGTGCTTGCATTGAGCTTGTCATGCACAGCATATTAGTTCATAGCACACTGTCCCTCACTGCTTTGAAAAGAGGTTGAGGGGTGACCTTATAGAGGTTTATAAATAGCCAAAGTCAATAGGTGTGAAGCTGGAAAAACACAGCAGGTCAGACAGCATCACAGGAGCAGGAAAGTCAATGTTTCAGTCAGAAACCCTTCGTTAAGACTGGGGTGGGGGAGGGGAGCTGAGAAATAAATAGAGGGAGGGGGTTGGGGCTGGGGAAAGGCGGGTGGGATAGTGACAGGTAGATGCAGGTAAGGTGTTACAGTGATTGGTCAGTGGGAAGGGTGGAGTGGATAGGTGAGTAGGAAGATGGACAGGTTAGGTCAGGTCAGGGAGGCGAGGATGATGGCGAGGGCTGGAGATGGGTTAAGACTGGGGGTGGAAGGATTTTAAAGCTGACGAAGACAATATTGAGGCCATTGGGCTGTAAGTTCCAAAGGGAGATATCAGGTGCTGTTCTTCCTGTTTATTTTTGGCCACAATCCAACAGTGGAGCGGGCCAAGGATGGACATGTTGCCAGGGAAGTGGGATGAGGAATTAAAATGGATGGCAACCGGAAGGTTGGGTTGGTTGATGCATGCAGCACACAGATGCTCCACGAACCAGTCCCCTAGTCTGTGTGTGGTCTTCCCGATACAGAGGAGACCACATCGGGAGCAATGGATGCAATAAATCAGGTTGGATGAAATGGAGGTGAATCTGCTGGATCTGGAAGGATTGTCTGGGGCCTTGGACAGAGGTGAGAGGGGAGGTGTAGGGGCAGGTGTAGCACCTCCTGCGGTTGCAGGGAAAGGTGTCGGGTGTGGAGGCAGGGTTGGTGGGGAGTGTGGAGCTGATGGGGGAGTCATGGAATGAACAGTCCCTGCCGAAAGCAGACAGGGGTGGGGAGGGAAATATCTTTTTGGTAGTGGGGTCTGATTGTAGGTGGCAGAAATGTGGAGAAAGGTACGTTGTATTCGGAGGTTGGTTGGGGTGGTACATAGCAACTAAGGGGACTCTAAAATGGAGGAGATGCAGTTGAGGGCATCCTTAATAACAAAGGAGGGGAAATTACAGTCCTGAAAGTAGGAGGATATCTGGGATGTCCTGGAGTAAAATACCTCATCCTGGGAGCAGATGTAGCGGAGGTGGAGGAATTGAGAGTATGGGATGGCATTTTTGCAGGATAGTGGGTGAGAGGAGCTGTAGTTCGAGGTAGTTGTGGGTGTCAGTAGGTTTGAAATGGATGTCAGTGGTGTGTCAGTCACTAGAGAAAGAAACAGAGTGGTCCAGGAAGAGGAGGAAGGTGTCAGAAATGGTCCAGGTGAATTTAATGGCAGGTGGAAGTTGTTGGCCAAGTTGATGAACTGCTCGAGATCCTTGTGGGAGCAGGAGGCAGCACCGATACAGTCCTCATTATAACAGAGGAAGAGGTGAGGGATGGTGCTGGTGTAGTTGTAGAAGAGGGACTGTTCGACGAACCCTAGAAAGAGGCAGACATAACTCGGGCCCATGCAGGTGCCAAGGCCAACTCTTATTTGCAGGAAGTGGGAGGAATCAAAGGAAAAATTGTTGAGAGCGAGGACCAGTTCAGCCAAGTAAATAAGATTGTCATTGGACGGGGTCTGGTTGGGCCTATGGGAGAAAAAAAAGCGGAGGGCTTTCAGGCCTTTCATGTGGGGGATACAGGTGTACAGGGACTGTATGTCTGTGGTGAAGATGAGGTGTTGGGGCCAGGGAATTGAAAGTTTTGTAAAAGGTGGAGGACACGGATTATGTCACGGATGTAGGTAGGGAGTTCCTGGATCAAAGGATAAAGAACAGAGTCGAGGTAGGAGGAGATGAGTTCAGTGGGGCAGGAGCAGGCAGTGACAATGGATCGGCCGAGACAGTTGGGTTTATGGATTTTGGGTAGGAGATAGAAACAGGCGGTGCAGAGTTGGGGAACTATCAAGTAGAAGGCTGTGGGCAGGAGATCCCCCAAGGTGATGAGGTTGTTGATGGTCTGGAAGTTGATGGCTTGGTGATCAGAGGTAGGTCATGAACGAAAGGACGGTAGGAGGAGGTGTCACAGAGTTGGCGTCTAGCCTCTGTGATGTAGAGGTTAGTTTGCCATACTACCACCACGGCACAACCCATCCCCACCCTGGGTTTAATAGTGAGGTTGGAGTTGGAGTGAAGGAAGCAGAGGCCTACACTTTCTGATGAGTGCAGGTTGGAGTCAGCGAGAGGATGGAGAGATCCAAGCGATTAATGTTGCAGCAGCAGTTTAAGATGAAGGAGTCAAGGGAGGGTAGGAGGCCGGGAGGGGGTATTCAGGAGGATGGTGCATGCTGGGGGTGGGAAAAGGGGTCATTAGAGGGTGATTGGATTCCCGTTCAAAGAAATAGACACAGAGCTGGAGGCGGCGGAAAAAGAGATTGGCATCATGGCATGCGCGGAATTCATTTACGTCCTTTTTTATTCATTCACGGGATGAGGGCATCACTGACCAGATAGCATTTATTGTCTATCCCTAATTGCCAAGAGTGCAGTTCAGAGTCAACCACATTACAGTGGGTCTGGAGTCATATGTGGGCCAGACCAGGTAAGGATGGCAGTTTCCTTCCCTAAAGGACATTAGTTAACCAGATGGGTTTTTACAACAATCGACAATGAATTCATGGTCATCATTAGATTTTTAATTCCAGTGGGCACAGGGAAATGAAGGTGAATAGCCAAGGTCTTTTCCCCAGGGTAGGAGAGTTCAAAATTAGAGGACATAGTTTTAAGGTGAGAGGGGAAAGATTTAAAGAGGACCTGAGGGGCAATATTTTCACACAGAGGGTGGTGCGTGTAAGGAATGAGCTGAGAGAAACAGAGTTAGCGTTTCGAGTCCATTGAATCAAAACTGAAGAAGGGGGTCATATAGAACACGAAACATTAACTCTGTTTCTCTCTCCACAGATGCTTCCAGATCTGTTGTGTTTTTCCAGCAGTTCTGCAGTGTTACAACTGCAGAGAAGGTGCAGAGAGAGAGAGAGAGAGATCAGAATTAAGATTTGAGAGGTTCTGAAAACAATGAATATTGGAGATCACAGCCAGTCAGGCAGCGTCCGTGGAGAGAGAGTAAGCCTAGGTGCCTCTTCATCAGAGCTGAAGTGAAGCATGGACGGGGCAGCATTTATGCTATAATTTGGGGGTGCGTTGGCTCAGTGGATGTAGGGTGCTGGTGGAAAAAAGATGTTGATATTGCAGATTAAGTGATTGGAATGTGAGAATAGCAGAACGATGGTGCATCTCCTGCCAGACTTGAAAGGACAATGACTGGGATGGGGGAAGGGGAGGACATTATAACAAGCTAAAAGTGAAAGAAATGGTTCACTGTTTAAAGTTGTTGAATGCAATATTAAGCCCAGAAGGCTGTAAAGTGCCTTGTCTGAAGATGAGATATTGTTCCTCCAGTTTGCACTGTGATTTGCTGGATCACTGCCGCATGCTGATGACAAACACATGGGCACACGAGCAGGACACTGTGTTAAAATGACCGGCTATGGGAAGGTCAGGGTCATGCTTGCACACAGACTGGAGGTGTTCTGCAAAGTGGTCGCTCAGTCTGCATTTGGTTTCTCCATTGTAGAGTAGGTCGCATTGGGTGCAGCGAATACAATACACAAGATTGGAGGAGGTACAGGTGAAACGCTGCTTCACCTGGAAAGACTGTTTAGGCCCTCGGATGGTGAGCAGGGAGGAGGTGAAGGGGCAGTGTTGTACCTTCTGCGGTAACAAGAGAAGGTGCTGTGGAGACGCAGGTATGTTTCTGGTCGTGTAATGTAATACTAGGTTGTCCTGGAGAGAATGATCCCTGCAAAATACAGACAGAGGGAATGAGGGGGAAATGTGTTTGTGGTAGTGTTCTGCTGGAGTTGGTTGAAACGGCAGAGAATGATCCTTTGAATGCGGAAGTTGGTGGGATGATAAGTGAGAATAAGGGGGACCCGATCACGCTGTTGTGAGTAATGGGAAGGGGCAAGGGCAAAAGCATGGGTGATAGGTCAGATGCGGTTGGGGACCCTGTCAACGATGGTAGGTGGGAAACCACAGTAATGGAAGAAGCAAGCCATTTCAGCAGGACTGTTTTGGAAGGTGGCATAATTTAAACAGATGTGACATAGGCAAAGGAACTGAGAGAACGGGATGGAGTCCTTCCCGGG